TCAGTTGCAGCTTACAAAATAAAGCTGCCAAGTTCAATATATAAGATTGGCAGTTTTAACAGTATACATAAATATCATTTATAAAAAAAACAAATATCTTGGTATCTGGTATCAGTTCTCATATAGATAGTCTTTTAAAGAAACTGAGACCAACCGTAGGTTTTTATTTTTGTTTAAAAAAAAATTTATCCTTTGTTGCTCGAAAACATTTAATAGAAAGTACTCTTCTATCAGTATTGGACTATGGTGATATGATTTATATGCATGCATCTCTAGTTTATCATGCTGCTTTACGATTTGTTACTGGTATAAGTGTCCGCACACATCACTGTAATTTATATGAAATGACAAATTGGACTACTTTGTGCTTAAGGAAAAAAAAACATGTTAATTTTTATTTTAAAAGCTTTAGTGGGTAAATTACCACAGTATATATTTGGTTTGTTGACACACTGCACAAATAATAATACCAGATCAGCAGATAAACTCTTACTTAAGATGCCGATTTTTCATACAGAGAGGTCGTTCTGCATTTTCTCATTATGCTCCGTATGTATGGAAGAAACTTCAAGGTACATTACATATGGAATCTGTACCATCTCTTGCTATGTTTAAAAATATTTTAAAGTCTGTTTATATAGAACAGACTAGGATTTGTATTGTTTTTAGAAAATCGTGTTTTATGTTTGCTCATCATCATTTTTGTAAATTTGTCCTTTGCTGCCTATCTTGACCAGGACTCCCTGGTAGAAGATATATCGTATCTCAATGGGACCTTCCTGGTTAAATAAGTAAATAAATCAAATTAGACGTCTGGCATAAAACGCCCACATTTAATGCTCCATCAATTCCCAATGGATAAAATCAAGTCCTTCACTGCAAAACCTTTGTAAATATGCTTTTAAAACTAGAAATACTGTATGTCCTATTACAGCAGGGAAAGCAAATGTTGAATGCGATTTCATGATGATTTTAATGACATTTAACCAAGACCCTACTTTCTGCATAGCAGATGTTCAAACATGCTGTAACAGGGCCGACGGGACGTGAGGCGTGAGGATCCATGTGCAAGCTTTTATTACGAGATTGCGAGAGTCAATATCATGGAAGGGTGACCTCTGGTGGCAAGTGGATGGAAATTCATAGATCAGATTTGTGACGCATGCATTGTTTTTCTGATCCATATGTTGAGGTGTCAGAATGTCACGTAATTCCCTTATCGGAAATCACTCATATGTGTTGTTGTTTTTTCACATGATCTTTTTATACTTTTTTGGCTTGGGGTGTGCAAGAATATTTTTCGAATACAGACTGATCGATAGCATTGAATGTATAAGGAAACTGATACCTGAGCAGCAGATTGTTTTGTGGATCTGCTATTTGCTACTTTCCCTAGAGTGCTTTGCTGCAGCTGTGTTTAAAATGAAGGGAAATCAAAGGAAACAAAGCAAAACCTGAACAACAGAGAGCATTTTATATATATATTGCATTATTTTAATTTTTCCACATAATTGTCATAACTGTAATGATAATTTATTTTCACATTACACTAATGAAAATCATCCTGTCTAACGTAAAATATTTTTCTAAATGAAAATAAAATGTAAATATTTAATCCAGTACAGCATTATAGCATTATCCATACTTGTACTTTAATAACTGAATAATATATCATTTTTATTCACATTTTTTCACTACTACATTACTTGCATGACAATTACTGTAATCTGAAAAAAAAAACTTCTGTAGTACATAACCCAGTGTTTTTTAAAATAATTTAATAGTTTTTATTTATATTAAAACAAGAATTAAATCCAGTACAGCAAAATACCTTTGTGAGTACTTACAATTCTATTTAAGAAATTATATTTTGCCATAAGAAAAGTTAGACTTTGTTGAAGCAGTTTTTTCCCCTGTGTTTAATGGTTACATTATTTTTATTACTGCTGTGCATCTATAATCGTCATTACTGTTATTTCATTGTCATTACTGTAATGAATTAATTATTATTATTAAATATTAAACGAATTTAATACAAATGAAAAATATTTTTTATTAAAATATAATTGATATATTTGATTCAATTCATCATTCTAGCATGATCTATACTCATACTATAAATACAACAACTTAACATTGTTAGTGCTTACAGTACTATTTTACAAATATACTTTACAATATAAGCAATATTTCGTTGTTTTTTTTTTACTTACAAGAAAATAGTCAACAATAATGTTACAATACAGAAAACATGCTTCATTTTGTTTATTCAAAATATTTTTCCTTTTTATTTTGACATGAAATGTGTCCTAGCTGTGTTCATTATTTCCGAAAGATTTTTTTTTTATTGTTTATTCTATTTTTAACACCACATTGCGCGCTCTCAGCAGCTGCAGTAAATAAAATGCTGGTCTAAAATGTCTGAAGACTGCGCGGCCTGCGGTTTAATCCATTACAGATAGTAAACCTTGTATTGTCAGAAACACTTGATGTGGATCTGAGCCGAAGTCCAGGAAATGAAATGAATCAAGCAGGGCAACCTCACTATCTTAAGTGAGCCTGAGAGAAAACAATGACCTAACTTCTAATCAACTTCATAAATCCACATTGACATGTTTAAGACCTCCTCCGCTTCTCCAGTTCCCTGCGATATCCTGTCCGAGGAAAATCAGGGGACCTATAAATTGATGTCAGGTTGCGTGATCTCACGGTGGCACTGTGCGCCTACACCAACATATTTCTCTCCGCCCTTTTGTTTTTAGCACTATGCTACAAAGTGTCATTTAGTTATAGAGATGCATGCATTATTGCGTACAAGCTTGCATTATGAAGGTCTAATGTTTCTCACAATGCTGTTTGCTTTGTAATGAGGATTTTAGGATGAGGCTGGAATATTAATGAGGCAGACAATGATGTAGATTCATTTTCCTTGTGTGTTAAAGGAATAACGGAACAAAAAATGAAAATGTACTCACCTTCATATCATTTCATTCCCTTGAGAATTTCTTTGTTCCATAGAATGCAAAAGGAGATATTTTGCAGAATGTCCAAGCTGCTCTTTTCCGTACAAATAGGTGGTGATTCTCACTGTTTAGCAACAAAAAAGACACAGCGAATAAAAAGAGCCTCTGTGCACTGTATTCCAAGTTTTCTGAAGTCATACAATAACTTTAGGTAAGGAAAAAAAAAATCAGTCCTTAAAAAACATTGACTTGGAATGTTATTATTTTTGGGGCTTGATAAAATCACAGACCATTTTTGTTGTATGGAAAAGAGCAGCTTGAACATTCTGCCAAACATCTGCTGTTGTGCTCCAAGAAAGTCATGCAGGTTTGGAACAACATGAGGGTGAATAAATAATGACCGGATTGTAATATTTTGTAACCCTTTTTATCAGAGTCTCAGCTGCTGCTATTTGATATACGCTTGCAAGTAGTCATAAGGGTGTATTGTTGCATTGGGCGTTGACTCGCTATATAAACCGCAGACCAAACAGAAGGACACCTGCCACTTAAAAATCTACTGTTAAGTGCAACATTTATCTCCGAGGCGTGTTAAAAACAGGGAGGGGATTCGAGTCGTAAAGTTTACTGCCACAAGATTTGTTGTGCTGTATTTGATCAAAATGGATCCTGTTTTTCGAGATGCTGCACAATGCCAAGCTGGCTGGAAGAACTATTTTAAAGGATTGTAAAAACCATATGAACTTCACATGTTAAAATCACATGTGAAATATGTGAAACACATGTAAAACACACATGAAACATGTAATTTTTTGTAACCCTTTTTATCAGAGTCTCAGCTGCTGCTATTTGATATACGCTTGCAAGTAGTCATAAGGGTGTATTGTTGCATTGGGCGTTGACTCGCTATATAAACCGCAGACCAAACAGAAGGACACCTGCCACTTAAAAATCTACTGTTAAGTGCAACATTTATCTCCGAGGCGTGTTAAAAACAGGGAGGGGATTCGAGTCGTAAAGTTTACTGCCACAAGATTTGTTGTGCTGTATTTGATCAAAATGGATCCTGTTTTTCGAGATGCTGCAGTGCTGCACAATGCCACGCTGGCTGGAAGAACTATTTTAAAGGATTGTAAAAACCATATGAACTTCACATGTTAAAATCACATGTGAAATATGTGAAACACATGTAAAACACACATGAAACGTGGTTTTGGAATATTTTCATGGTGTAAATGTGTGAAACCCATGTGGACACATGTGGAAACATGGTTTTTCTGTAAGAGTAGAAAGCTTCTGTTTTTAAACTATAGTCCTTTAGGGTCTTGTCACAAAAAAGCCAGCTTCTCTCAGCTGCCTGCCGTGCAGAGTGGCACACTAAAATAGCCAGGTGGTCAAATCCTATGAAGAGATATGATTAAATGTGAATAACAAGTGCTCTTTTGTATTTTTATGTTGCCAATATTTTATTATAACTTCATTAAATTCTATTATTTTTAAGAAGATTTCTGATTACACTGCCATTCAAAAGTTTGGGGTCAGTAGGATTGTTTTTAAGAAATTAATACTTGTATTCAGCAAGGTTGCGTTCAATTAATCAAAAGTGACAGTAAAAATTTTCAGTTTATCAAAGAATATTGAAAAAAGCACAACTGTTTTCAACACCGATAATAATAATAATAATAAGAAGAAATGTTTCTTGAACACCAAATCAGCATATTAGAATGATTTCTGAAGGATCATGTGACATGAAGACTATAAATATTGGCTGCTGAAAATTCAGCTTTGCATCACAGGAATAAATCACATTTTAAAATATATTAACATAGAAAAAAGCTATTTTAAATTGTAATAATAATGCAGCCTTGGTGAGCATAAGAGACTTCTTTCAAAAACTTTCGAAAACTACAGATCCCAGACTTTTGAACAGTAGTGATGATTAAGTTTTAATTGTAGGTTTAGCTGTAAAGAACAGATTACAAAAAGCGGTATTCATGCTAACCAAGTCTTTTTGTCCCCATCTGTTTCTTCTTGCAGAATCATACGGACTGAACTGGCTTCTTTCCCTCCCTTTGATGTTAAGACAAGAGACAAGGTTGCCATGGAAGTGAAAGAACGCAGACCCTACCGCTCCTTGACCTCCAGGCGGGACACGGAGCGCCGGTACACCAGCTCCTCAGCTGACAGCGAGGACGGCAAGCTCAACCCTAAGTCCTACAGCTCCAGCGAGACCCTCAAAGCTTTTGACCAGGACTCCAGATTGCCCTATGGCAGCCGAGTCAAAGACGTGGTGCACCATGAAGCCGATGAGTTCAGCAGGCAAGGTGAGCGGGACTAGATTTCACATGTCGGATCTTCTTGGTAAAAAAGTGCATTTTAAAGGGGTCATCGGATGCCAATTTTCCACAAGTTGATATGATTCTTTAGGGTCTTAATGAAAAGTCTGTAACATAGTTTGGTTAAAATTTCTTTTTTACCCTGTCAAAAACGGCTCTTTTCAGAGCAAGCCGTTTTGTAGCATTTTAATCCACTGCGTCTTCAGCGGCTCAGATGTCGGGAGTAAATGAGGACTACTATGTTCATTATTACATCCAACATCAGAACACCTCAATCGCTTAGGAGTCATTCTTGTCTACATCTGCTCCAGCGGTGAAACAATGGCGGACTGATGACAGCTCACTCAGGGCGGGTCTAAGGTAAGACGCCAGTCCAGTCTGTGCTGAAACGCTGCTGTCAATCAAACTATTGTGGGAGGGGCCTGTCTGTGTGACGTCACACAGACAGGCATCTCAGATCAGCTCGATTTGAGAAAGGGGTAAACATTTTAGTAGATAGAAAAAAAAACACTGGGTGGATTTTTATCATTATGTGGTGGTTGTGTACACACTGCCAACATACATTTCAGTTCAAACAACTTGTAAAAGTGCATGTAGCATCCTATGACCAGAAATGAGTAATTTCTGTGCCATTAGTGCCGCCAAATGCAATTCCAAGACAGAATTTAGTGGTGTTTTTTCAGACTTGGGTAGAATTGCACTTAAGTCTGCGTGGGTTATAGTTTGCATGGACTCCAGTTTGGTTTGCATTTGCTGTGAAAGCAATCCGGCCTAATTTGCAGAAGTGAATTGTTATTTATTACATTATAATTGGCCTATTAAAGTATAATGCATTTCTGATTGCTGCATGTCTCCACAGAATTTACCTTCGGCCAGCAGCCTGCATTTTTCATATCTGTTTTACAGCAGACAGACACAAAATCCATTCTGTGCATGAAAAGACTCACCCTCATGTTGTTCCAAACTAAATGCTGTTATTTTTTCTGAGGAACACAGATGCATAATTTTTATGTTCATGCTGCTCTTTTCCATACAACAGTTATTGGCGACCTGGGGCTTTCAGACTCCCAAAAAATAACCTTAAAAGCACCATGGTAGTGGTCCACATGACTTGTGCACTATATTTCAAGTCTTCTAATGTTGTGCGATAGCTTTGTTTTAGAACAGGCTGAAATTAATTCCTCATACCCAAAATCAGAGATGAATTAACATTTGAAAATTTCTCCTATTTTCCATTGGAAGAAATAAAGCACAACAATTTGGATCGCTATGGTTGTCACCAAACTTGTCACCTTAAATAACATTATTATTATTAATAATAATAATAATCATCATCATATTTATTTATTACTTTATTATTTGTATTTGTACTTTTTTCAGATTTTACAGTACAATAGTATTATTACTATTTAGTGATATTTAATGTTATATAGTAAATATAGCATTTCTTTATTGATTTGTTTAATTTTATAATAAAATATGAAATACTAAATATTAATACTACATCTACTACTACTAATAATAATCATTTAACATATATTATTATTATTATTATTGCTAAGTAATGCTAATGAATTTGATTATATATTTGTTATATATATATTTTTCAGATTTTACAGTACAATACCATTATTACTGTAGTATATCATATTATTTAATATATTTAATATTTCTTGATTGATTGGTATAATTTTTTTTCAAATTAAAATATAAATATTTTAATACAAACATAATAATAATAATAATAATAATAATAATAATAATAATTCATTATTATTATTGTTATTATTAATGTATAGTCATACTTAATGGGTTCCATAAAAACAACAGTGCGAAGGTAGCCTGAGACAAGTGAAGCAAAGAGAGATTTTTAGTTTTTTAAGCTGTTAAAATAAACAAATAAATTAAAACTTTACTAAGTTTTTAACCCTAAGGGACTGGAATCCCATTTTTCCACCCCGGATGAGTTTGCATACCTGGGGTAAACAGAGAGAATATAAAATAAAACAAGAAAATATGAAAGATTTTTCGGCATGATGATTTCCCTAAATGAAGTGCATTAAAACTTTTGATGGCAAGAATGCAGTTAAATCGTAATCATCCCTGATACATGACCTGTGTGCTTATTAGTTTCTTTTGAAGTGTGGAACGCTGCACCCTTGATCATTTTACTTGCCTGCTTCATATTAAAGCACATATCTATTACATGTGCTTGTTAACATGAGACAAACTATCATATGCTTTGGGGGAGCTCATCTCGCAGACTCGAGATCCGCAGCACATCTTTCAGATACGCTTGAGAGACTGATTGCATTCGAGCAATTAAACTGCGGTGACGTTTCGATCTGTCGCTAATATATTCCAGCCGTTCTGAAAAAGCTGCATCTAAAACCAGGGAGATAAAAGGAAAGCCGAATGCGGTGTTGTAACTTTGCCATTAGCGTTCTGGGACTTTAATGAGAGGGGGGTGCCGTGAATGCTGATTCGCTGATGTCTTTTATGACCTTCTAATGTGTCCAGTTGATGGTGACCTGAAAAAAATATCCACTTCCCCTCCATGAATACTAGATGCATTGTTGCTCTCAGCCGCGCTAACTATTATCGCGCTCACTCTCGGGCATAAATCTATAATTTGCCGTTAGCTTCATCTAAACGGCGTCCTCTTTCTTGTACCTTTGGACTTTACCAGACACAAGTGTACTTTGAATGTGATGTTTACTGAGTTTTTGCACACTCAAGTGGGTTTGAGTGTTTCATTTTGAATCTAAACTTCCCATTAGGCTTGATTACATATCGGCTAGTTTCATATATTGCATGTTCTCTGTAATTTGATGACCTCATATATGAGGTCAGGTGCTCTGTAAAAGATGTTCTGTTGTGATAAATAGTAATGAGTATCAAAACCTAATGAGCTGTCTACTTGACAGTGTTTTAAGACGTCATAGTTTCACATTTTAGCCCAAAGGCTGTTCTGAATGGTAGGCTACACAGTTAATCCCAAAATATATTTAAGTTTTGACGGCAATGCTTAGCGTATGTGTACAAGCGAACGCATGGCTTTTCAGTTTTTGTTAGTGTGTGTGCACACAAATGTCGGACACATGCATACTAAAATGTTTCATCCCTGTCCAGAGTTTGCGCAGTTTCTCTCCAGAGGTTATTACTGATAAAAACGCCTTTCTAGTTGTGGGTAATCGCTTGTCAATGCAGCGTATGTTTGTTGTTGTGTTTCAAATAATGTGTTGTTGTTGTTCTGTCCTCACCATTTCTTTTTCTTTTTAGAGTGTGAAACAGTACATAAATAAAGAAATACAACCAAAATAGGTGATGAATTTTACATCACATGCACCTCAAAACACTAAAAATGTATATTTTCATTTTTAAGCTGCCCTTATACGATACATTAGTGAAATTTCTGCAAAATATCAGAGGCAAAAAAGGGACACTGTATATTTGTCTATACTGCAGCTAACACACAAGTCACTTTCAAACCAAGCAGTTTTCTGTTGGTCAAAAAAAACAAAAAGAATGTAGTGCCAAATAATTTAAATAAATAAAAAAATATATATATATAGAGAGAGAGAGAGAGAGAATAAAAAATTAACTTTTCACTAAGATATTTGATCCATAGTTTTGTGTGAGTAGATGCTAGCATCAGAGTGCAGTAGTCAAGTTCTGGAAGTAAAAATCACATCAATATTTTCCATATATTAGTATGTTTTTTGTTGCAATAATTGTAAAATATATTGTTATATGGTTTCATGCGTGCAATCAATAATTCTAAGTTAATAGTTCATATTGTACTGTCTTTTTAATAATACTACTACTAATAAAATGAAAATACTAGTTATTGTTATAATAATAATAATTATTATTATTATTATTAGAAATTTCTATCTTCGCTTAATCTTTGACCTCATGGTAGGTTTTTGTAGAAAGGTTTTTGTTATTGTAAAAAAAAAAGAAAGTCATGAAATGAGATGTGGAAAATGAATAGCATTTTTACTTCCAGACCCCTGCTGTTGCAGTCTGTTCTTGTATGCATAACACAGATTGTATTTTCTCTCATCGTGTCCTTGTGTGTTTGTATCAGGGACGGACTTCTCTCTCAGAGACATGGCTTTTGGAGATCCCGTGCCGCCCCATATGGCAGCCTATAGGACAGAAATGGGCCTTCCCCACCGCGACTACTCCGTGAGCGTGGGATCAGACGCTGACACAGAAACGGATGGCATCATGTCCCCCGAGCACGCCGTCCGACTCTGGGGCCGTAGCAACACCAAATCCGGCCGCAGCTCCTGCCTTTCCAGCAGAGCCAACTCTAACCTCACCCTTACTGACACCGAGCATGAAAATACAGAAAACGGTGAGTTCAAATGTCTGTACGCTCTCTTCACACTTCGACTGAGATTGCGGCACCAGGCACAGAGGGACGTCTCCAGTTTAGCACCACGTCAATTCAGATTGAATGTGTGATGCCCCTTTTATATGGAAAGCATGGGTGGTTTGGGAGAGGCGGATTTTGTGACGTTCTAGTTTGATTTTTGAAATGCTTCTGTTTAAAAAAAAAATATCTCATGAGTGCTTATTTATGGAAATGCGATGTAATAATATGATAATTCGAGTTCTGTGTTTTTCGGTTTATCACTAACCTCCAAGTGCTATACATAACTTTAAGAGTGATGGTATGTTATCCATCCCTTCACATTCGGCTCAAAACAATGTCAGTATTAAAAGCAAAACCATTGTTACAAATGCCAGATTCAAATTCAGGTTGCCTGCAAAAAAACTCATGTTGGATCGTGTGCACTTTCTGTTAGGCCATGTCTATGACACTTCTAATATTTTTCATTTCATTATCTGGTGACCTTTCTTATACAAATTTGGATTTTATTCAATGCTCCGTTACATTTACAGATGGATTAAGTGCAATATTTCTGCTGTGAAAAGAGATTAATTTATTATTAATAAAGTAATTATAGTATGATGCATGAAAGTCTCTGCTTCCTTTTGATTGGCCAGTGGCAAACTGTGATCCAGTCTCTAAATATAAGCAATAAGCTACAAGAGACAGTATACAATGTAATAGTTTGTTGCTACATTTTTACCACATCCTTAAGCACAGTGTGATGCAGAGTGCAAAAAAAAAAAAAAACACATGGCAAACTGTAACAGATGTATTTTTTATGCATGTATTTTTTTCATAAATTGTTTATGATAATAAACAGAATAACCAGTTCTTCCCTGAAGTAATATAGTTCAGTGATGAATTATCCATATGTAACCGCAATAAAATTAACATATTTTGCATTTTTCAGTAATAATCTCCAAGGCATGTCTATGCGACGGAGCTAGAAGAGGTCAGATGCTTTCTGATGAGATTAGTGGCCCAAACAGAGCAGGCAGCCATCCTGGATCCATCCTCCTCAAGCTCGGTGCTTCCAAACGGTCCCCAAGGGCCCAATGAGTGTCTTTGCTTGCATAGAAGGTCACATTGTACTGAGACAGTGTCACAGTAAAACTTGTCAGGAGCAGGGTCTGATTAGAGGAACCGCTCAGTGAAACTGCAGGAATAAATGGACAATCTCAGCATGAAATATCGAGTCTTTTATAAAGTAAGAACTTCCTATTGGGAATGCAAATGTTAGCTGTTTATTTCATGCGTTAAGGATTTAAACATTTATTAAACCAGGATAAGCACCTCTTGTAGTTGAATAATACAATTATCTTTTTGAAAAACTGCAGTTAAATGATATTTCATGAATGGCCTTTCAGTTGTGCAGACTTCAGAGGAATTTGAAAAAAAAACAGCATATAACCAGTGTTTTTAATGGAAGGTCAGTAAACTTGGAGCAAATGTAATTGTGTGTGTGTGTGTGTGTGTGTGTGTGTACCTGGTATTTATCACGTTATGGGGACCAAATGTCCCCACAAGGATAGTAATACTAGTACATTTTGACCTTGTGGGGACATTTTTAAGGTCCCCATGAGGAAACAAGCTTATAAATCATACAGAATGAGTTTTTTTGAAAAAGTAAAAATGCACAAAGTTTCCTGTAAGGGGTAGGTTTAGGGGTAGGGTTGGTGTAGGGCAATAGCACATACAGTTTGTACAGTATAAAAACCATTACGCCTATGGAATGTCCCCATAAAACATGGAAACACAACATGTGTGTGTGTGTGTGTGTTTTATTTTATTAACTAACATGAACAAACAATGAACAATACATTTATTACAGTATTTATTAATCTTTGTTAATGTTAGTTAATGAAAATACAGTCGTTCATTGTTAGCTAATATTAGTTCACAGTGTTTTAACTAATGTTCACAAGCACAACTTTTGATTTTAATAATGCATTAGTAAATGTTGGAATTAACATGAGCTAAGTTCATGTTCATGCTTAGTTCATATTAACTAAAGTAGTTAACTAATGAACCTTATTGTAAAGTGTTACCATTTTATTTTATTATTTTCATAGTGTTACTTTTACTTTTACTCATAGTCAGTATTACATTTCTGCACATAACTTTTCCCATTCATTAATGATAACTCAAATTATGCGGTTTTCTTTTTTAAGCTCTAATGTTCAAATTTTGCTTGACAGATGACAAAACAATAGACAAGAAATCCAAATCTAGAGACCCGAGTATTATTGAGACTTGGGCTCTTTTGACCACCTGGCAGCGTTCTTTGGTGTCTGGACCTAAACAATTTTGTGGATATATATTAGTGGATCCATATAGCTATATCACAAGCTTTGACTTTTTGAGAGCGAAACGTGATCTTTCTTCAAGATTTCTCGCGTTTAAACGCTTGAGTTTGGCACTCTTTATATCCGCAGTCTAGTTAAGCCTTAATCGCGCTCTTGTTTACAATGTCCCTTATACATATTCACTGCCAAACTCTGATAGGGACTCTAACAGCCTTTAGAAATCACACATCAAGGGCCCGGCAGCGAAACACTAATTGCCTTTTGCTCCACAGTCTCCCTGAAAACCTATAAATAGTCTGTTTTGCACTGTAGCCTGCGTCTTTTTAGCTGTTAGATTCTTACTTAAAACGACAGAGGTGTTCTTTTGTGCTGCATCACATTTTATGCCTAGACATCAGTGATGGACTTAAAAAGAAAATGGAATATGTCTGTCTGAACGCCGTGAAACGCTGAGGTGAGGCTAATGCGCGTTAAACTGGATTTGATGACTGTGAAAAAGAAAATGCCCTCCATGTATATCTTTATTCGCAGCTTTAGGCGTCTGTTTGACTGTTGTAAAGCAGACATAATTCAAAATTGCTTTTTATTCTGTTCATCCAAGCAGAAACTTGTTTTTTTAAACTCATGTTGAATAACGTGCACTTTAAAGGGCAAGCTAACTGAAACCTGTCCAACTTACTTGTGTTTTATCACTTTGAATTAAGACTAACAAATTTAAATGTACATTTTTAGGTCTGTGATCATGTAATATGGCAATACTCAGTGTTATTTTTTAATTATTTGGAGTTTTTCATATTTTTTATAATTGCTTTATTTATTTTAATTTTATTTTAGTAGTCCAATGATTCCAGTGTTTTTGGTATGTGCTTTTGCCATTTTATTAGTTTTAGTTTATTTTTAATATTTCTATCTACCTTTAAATTTATTTTTGTTTTTATTTTATTTATTTAGTTTTAATTTTGGTAATTGTAGTACTCTGGAAAAAAAAAAGAGTTTTGATCTAATATTTAGATTTTATTTCAGCATTATTTCAATTAAGAAAAACACATTTCAATAGTTTAATTTTAATAAGTGCACTGGAAATATTATGGTATTTTTGAGTATTGTAATTACTCATTATCAAAGAACCCTCTTATACCATCACAACCCTTTTATGCAAGTGAAAGAAAAAAACATATTTTTTTTTGGTTTTCTATTGATCCTTGCACCAACTGGGAAAGCAAAGCCGTTGTAATGCATTAGGTCACATTGAGATTAAAATAAATAAATAAATAATGCTTTCTTGATGTTTAATTTATTTCACATTGCTGTTGCTTTTAGAGCTCATTGGAAGCAGATTTCCTCAGGCGCTAACGGTCAGGTCCATTGCTGAGTCATTTTGATCAGGCATAGGCTGCTCTTTTAGCAGCAAGCCGAACCTTGTTCTAGACATAAGGGCTGCTCGGGGCAAAGTGCAAACTGTGTCAGAACCCACAGACCCTTCACTGCATGAGCTTTATGGGTATTTCAAGTGCTGTCATTTTATTCCATCCCAAGATCATACATTTGAAGAATTAGTTCAGCCAAAACCTGCCCTCATGTAATTCCAACCCTTTATTGCTTAATTTTTTAGCATAGAACACAAAAAGGAGATATTTTGAAGAATGTGCTGGTCACCCATTTCCTTAAAGCATAAAAAGGATATAAAAGCACCAGTTTCACTTTATTTAATCTGCGAAAAGTTCATGTTCAGTGTGTGGGATTCGGTTCAGCATGGGCGACAGGGAAAACTGAGGTTGCATTGATCAGCAGGATATTTTCAGCTACGGCTACATCACATGGTAACATAATACGCGCTATTCAAAGTTCAGGTCATTAGCGTAAATCGAACGCAAATAAATGGACATTCACCAGCTCAAAATGGCTATGATAGTCATATCTAAATTTGTTTACGATCTAGGGCTCATCTTAATGACATACTTAATCGATTTCTTCATTGGTGTGTTTTTGAATGCGATGGGGTGGTTAAATATCTGTGATAGAAAACTGAATGTTAAGGGTTCAACTACCGGAAAGAGTGGTTCGATTAAAGGGGAAATTACTGGGACTTGATATTGTCACCAAGCCCTTAACCCCATTTTGCTCTACGTTCTTCTTGTTACCATATTCTGCTTTGGGTAAGAAAGTATCTCCTAAAAGTCCTATAACAATTAGGACAGGATGATATAGTTAAAGTTATTATTATAATAAATGCATTATTATAGTTGTTGTTAGTAGTTGTAGTAAAAGTATTCACCTCTGATAATCATAATGATCATATTTTTTAATATTATAAAGGTTTTCACTTAAAAAACATATTTTAGCGGGTAATGTTTATTTCCCTTTGCTTATGTTATCAAGGTTTAAACAATGTAATTCATATTTTTTATGTTGAAATTTCATATCTTACAAAAGTCTGAGACTGGAACAAAGGTAAAACAATATAATCGGCATTTGTAAAATAGCAAAAGTAAATGTGATGGGTGTGATAGAAAGAAAAGTTTCCTTGATGGTTTAATGTGGACGTTCATTTAACAAACACACAAATAAATAAAATGGTTATTTTGAATGAAAATCAACTCCTTTGACATAGAAGTCCAACACCCCGTCACACTTTATTTTAAGGTGTCCTTG